ATCTGACTCCCACACGGCAATCAGGTAGAACAGTATCTATATTTCTTTTTGCTCCTTTTAAAATATTTTAATATTTTTGTAAATAACTATACTGATGATTTTCCGTGTTTAAATAAAGTTGATGTATGTATGTATGTATGTAACAATACGAACACATATTGTATATAGATCAGTGTTACCGACCTGTTTTTGGGTCGGAAAAATATGGCGCGCTGCAAGTTTGAAAAGTCCCTCGCCCCCTCTCCCGCTGCGCCGCGCATATCATATTACTTTCAAAAATTCATTCGCATAAATAAGGACGTATTAAAGGCGAGGGACTTTGCGAAAGTCTATGGGACACATTGCAACATAACCTATAAAGGCTAGTTCACACAAGCAATTTTGAACTGCTTTTGGTGTATGTGTTAGAGTGAATAATCACAACGAATGCATGAGCTAAGCCACGCAAAGTAATATTTCCTGTAATTTTGCTAAATCACATTTGCCAAAAGACGAAAATCACAGTTTAAAATCGCTTGTGTGAACGGGCCTTAACAGGTGTGAATTGCCCAGTTCTTTCAAAATATTTAAAATGATCCTCCCTGTCATTGGGAGATAATTGCTGTAAAATGGGTTAATGAATAATAAAGTTTCCCTCAATGATCAATAACATAATAAAAACATGTGCAACTAGAGGGCACTCGGAGACTGCATACCTCCGCCCGCTACTCGGAAGTGAAAAAAGCGCAAACTATTGAAGTAATCTATTGTTATTAGAATTTGAATGGCCTAGCACTTTCCTGAACGCAATGATGCGTAACTCCGTAACCCTTGTTTTTGACATTGAATTTTGGTCGCGTGAAATGCAACTCAGTAAGACAATAGATAATGAAGGCTGAAGCTTAATGAGCTTTATCATGTCATTATTATCTATTGACTATTGTCTTAGTTGTCGCATTCGACGCGACCGAAATTCGGCGTATAAAACGTAACTAAAATATTGCCAGCGTGTATATTTTAACTATTGACCTATTATTATTATTAAGAAATTAGAATATATTTGTAAAACACACGATTTTAGAGCAGCCTCCCTTATATAAGTAAGATTTACAATTGTATACAATCCAAAAAGATACCATTAATTACATTATTTGTCTACCTTTATGTACCCTGTATACTGGTGCATAAATTATACACGTCCTAATTACGCATTCAGTAAGTTTTTTTTAATTGACCGGGAAAAGCAAGACAAACTTTTGTTCATTTCTCGTTTAATTTTTAACCAAATTCAACCAAATTTTAATCAATTCTTCCTTAGCCGATGGGAAATGCATTAAAAAAATTTCGTATGAATATGTGTGGTATTTTTGGAGTTATCGTGCTCACAGACAAACACACACACACACACACACATACATACACATATACATACACTCATACACACATACACACATACGCACATACACACATACAAACCCAGATGATTACATAACCTCCTGGCGGAGGTAAAAACCCAGATGATTACATAACCTCCTGGCGGAGGTAATTATACAATATTATTTAAAAAATTAATACCGAAAAAGGTGCTGCGAACAAACCATGTTCATGAGAATATAAATTTTTCCAAAACAAGTCGCAACGAAAAACAAGTAAATTTGCAGTCAACAATAAGTTTGCACCTAATACTACAAAAAATGTATATAGAATATCTCACATTTCTGTCAGCAATATCCGCTGTTCTGAAACAATTTATGAACTATTTAAAACATGAGCAGCAGTGTTTTATCATATATAAAGCCGAGTATCTTTAGGTCTGATAAAACACGCACTGCGAATGTTTTAAATTGCTTCAAAAACGATCGATCTAGTACGTTCATTGGTAAATTTCAAAAAATACGTTGTGTAAGTCGAGAAAATCAAAGTTAAAGTTTATAAGGGAAATCTCTATCACATATAAAGATACAACACGCTTATGATTTTTATGATTTTATTTTCACTATGCAGCAAACCATAAAAATGTTTAGTGTAACTGTTTTTAGTCTGCGCATGTGCGGAATATTGTAGTTAAGGGCATACGAAAGAGAACACCGCGGAAAAACGTCTGCGCATGCG